TCCATGTTTTGAGGCTATAAATCGCGTGCATATGATACATTTACGGAGATAACATGGAATAAAAAAAACACGAAATAAATTTTTTATAGGGTTACTTGGGATTCCAGTTGTTTAATAGATCATTAATACATATATTTAAATTTAATAGATAATCAAATACTGTATAATCATGCAAATAAAAAAAAAGTACACATTTCTTTCATACAACAAGGGAACTACCAATGGAATTTAGCATGAAGTTCTGTATTAACAATAATATTAACAATAATAGCAACGTTAGCATTTAACCATATTTTTAATCCTTTGATTTTTTAATATTTTAACTGCTATCGTACCACACTGCACAAGATATCCAGGTATAATACAAAACATCTTGGGTATAGTACTAATACCAGCAATATTAGAAGGGTTTAATATACGAAATTTTTTTTTAATATTATTTGTATGATGAGTAGACCAAATAATAGTTTAATAGTGGCACGCTGCACGCATCATTTCGCCAAATTCCAAGCTAAGAGAAAAAATAAATAAATAATAAAAAAAATAATTCTTTTAAAAAAGAAAAGGCAATTGGTGTCAGTATTAGACTATTATTTGGTTTAATTATACAATAATACAATAAAAGTACCCTTCAACTTTTTACTAGTTCTATAAGGAAAAATATTAAAAAAAGTTTAAAAAAAGCTTAGAAAGCCAAAAAATATATGTTTGTAATGTAAATAACATAATATAGTAAAATAAATATAATAAATATTGAAATTTCGCTTCAATCTTCAAAGGTGACAAGGTTATCAAGGAAGAGGATGACGGGAACATTTGGAACATGTTAATAAATCAATTAGTGGAATGTGAATTTGCGAGTGAAAAAGTTATTCCGACATACCACCCATATAATTCCAACGTGATTCCAACAAAAGAAGAGATTGAAGAATTTGATGAAGATAATAGGAAGTGGCGAGTCGATTTGCCAACCCTATGAAAACACTATTTCCATAAAATGTATGTAAAAAAATGTTATTTGATCATATATTATTCGAAAAATCATTATTTGTTTATGTAATATTAAATATTCATAAGCTGTATTGTAAACATAAACAAGCACTAACTTAACCTACAAATGATGTTCAAATAATATGTTCAAACATAATGCGAAATGCAATCATTACATAATAAGGTCAATTTATGTATAGTAAATTCCTATTAATTAGACCGTTTTCCAACATTTGTCTTTTTTACGTTATGATCTACGAAGTGTTAGCTGCGGTGTCAATATTCTAATGTTAACAATGTTAACAGTATAAATCAATTGTTTATTACACATTTAAAAGATACATACGAATTTGAAGATTTATTTGGCAATTTGTTTTGTTTTTCAATTTGCTGCTTTTCGATAGATTCTGCACCAGAAATTTTGGTCATGTGACTTTTGGCTAAATTTCAGCCAAAGTTCGGTCTTCGACCAAAATTTTGACACAACTTTACGAATATCAAGATTATCACGTGTATATGTGATAATTTTTTTTAAACTTTTTTTTTATTTAATTCGATACAGGTTTTAGATAAAGTTTCATTTCGCTTCAAAAAAAACTTAAAAAAAAAATAATTTATGAAATTTTTTTTTCTATTTCATAGGTTCGGTTCTTTGGCATTGGATATGCCGAGTTTCATTTTGAATAACACTTCGAAGCTTTATTTTTTTTTAAAAAAAAATTTTTTTTTTTATTTTTTTTTTCTATTTGTAGGTTTCGGCTCTGGTTCTTGGGTGAGTTTCATTTCGGAATTTATTTAAATAAACAACGTGACAAATAATGAACATGAAAAATTATAAGAAACCATTCAATTTATTATTTCTACTAAAAAAGTCATAAGATGATGGATCGCAAATATAGGTTTAAATAAAAATATATGGTTTAATATAAAAAATAAGTTGAATGAAAAGAAATGATTACGTAACGTCGTAACGATTTAGTGTAATAATAAATAAGGAATAGATCAGGAGCAAGTATGTCACGCCTGTCACGGGTTCTTATATTATGGCACGCAGGCACTGGTTTTCATGTTACACAATTCAAATTATTTATATGGACTATGGAGAGACTGGAGAGTGGAGGTTATTCTAAACGGCAGACCATATTAATTATTTCTTTTATTTTTTTAGCAACTGATTAATATTCTAGTGCATCAATAATACGAAGGAATTTCTTATATGGTTCCTAAGATATATATAATTAAAGAAATCTGACATAATTATATAGTTTTCTATCAATTAACAAGTTATGAGTTTATCACCTTGCAAATTTGAAACAAGAAGCGAAATAATTTAATTAACTTACTCATTAAACATTCTAAATAGTATAAGAGAAAAGCCTAATCCAAACGGTAATACTAAATTTAACAATCTTTATAAAGTCTTAACGATAAATTATGTAATTTTGATTCAATTATTCTTTTACTACAAATTATTTATTTAGATGGAATTGTTGGAGACATGAGGCAAATGAAAGACAAAGTAATTTCAGAAAAAAGTCTCAGTATTGTTCCTGAAATAAATAATAATTCTCGATTAAGAATTAGAATGTGATAATAGATTATTAGATATCATATTTCAAATACATTTTATTATTTTATTTTCATTTCTTTTGACGTAATTAATTGAATCAACAAAAAAATATACAAATATAATTAAAAATTGTTTTAAAAGGATATGGCTCATTTGTTACAATAACTTTGAAATATTGATAAATGTTCGTTCGTTACACATGCATTTCTTAAAAAAAAATTGTATTCATACATGCGAAAAAATCAACCGTACAATACATGTTTTCTATAATATAAATTTTACCAAACCTTCCCTCAGCAATAAATTTTATATTTTTTGAATTGATCATAAAGAACAAACTCCATTTTACCTGTCATAGCAACACTATCACTTTGAGTATACCTAATAAAATCGTCAACAACTTTGTTTCCAATTTATTGGGCTTGAGTATTGTCTTTATATTTTAATAAATGTAACTAATGGTGACTTTCATATATAAAATTTTTCTTTTCTTAATTACATTCATTACATTTCTTATATTTATAGCTTTTTTTTGTTAACTTTGGCTTGTTTTTGATGACTTGAGAACATGTTGTCTGATAATAAAGATTCAATTTTATTTAATTTTTTTTGAAAACAAATTAGATTATTTTTATTTTTTGAGACACTTAAGAATGATATCCCATTTATAAATGTATTTTGAGTAATAAATTCTACACACAATTTCTCGTAGAATTTTCTTACGGAAAAAATTTAATAACCTGAAACGTATATTAAAGAATTCTCTCATGCACAATGTAGGACACTTATAATTCCGACAAGTAAAAAGGTTTGTCCTTAATAATATCGTTTTTTTTTGTGAAACAATTGTTTGTTCATTTTAAGAAGTTGCAGTTTAATATCAATTTTTTAACTAACATCACTCGTTGCTTGTAGTAAAAGTGTTAAAAATGAAGTTATCATTCTTGCTTTAATATGTCTTATAGCATGTGATTTCTTCTGATGGAAATTCATTCTTTCCAAGACTTCCCAAGGTGTAGTGGATTTTCTGAGTTCGGATAAAAAGCTCCTTGTTAAATAAGTAATTTATCAAAAAATTTTTGTAAAAATCAATCTTATTTCGAACATACTATACATGTGGACGTAATTATTTCAGATAACATACGAGCATAGCTTATGCAAAAAAGTGATGAAAAACTTAAAATTATTTATTATAATAAACTATTAAGGTATTACATTTTGCTATAATGGTTATCAATATTTTTAAATAGTTTTACAAATATTATTAAAATATGCCACAATATGTACTATACCATTCTCGGTTACAGTAGTTTGGCGATTTTTTAGATTTCTAATATCATTTTTTTCCCAATAATTTAAATTTGGTGGTTCCTCTAATAATACAACCTTTACAAACCTCATTTTGTCGGTGAAAAAGGAGGAGTGTATAACGTAAAGTATAGATCGATAAAAAATTTATAATTATCATCCATCCGGATCATGTTCGAGGTTATATTTGGCTATATTTTGAAACCCAAAAACCGGACCAGGATAAGAATTCTTTATGTAATTGCGTTTCCACATTTTTATTTTTAAAGTTTTATTATTTTGATATTTTAATATAGAATTCATTCATTATATATTTTTTAGTAAAAATGTTTAATATGTAATAATCAAATGTAAAATTTTATTATTATAAAAACAAATTTATTTTATGATTATTTAAGAAACTTTTATTAATTTCATGATAAATTTGATAAATTAGATTTTCTATAATATTATTAGTATAATTTTCTTATACATATAATAATCATATGTCATAAAACTAATTATGTTTTCGATATAAAGATGACAAAACAAACTATTAATCATTAATAATATCAGATGAGTAAATTCAAATAACATATGACTGAAATACAAAACTAATAGAGTAATAATTGGTCGGATTAATAAATGACAAAAATTAAATCATTGCTGGCTAATAATATAATTGTGGCTTGTAAATTGTAATATATAGTCAATGTGAAGTCATAATTATATAACTTTAGTAAGTATATATTACTACTAATATACACGCTTTTACTTTATTAGGAAATATTACTATGTCATTATAGTATATGAGTAAGACCAATTATTCATAAAAACTCTTAATTATTCATGATTTATAATTTGTAGGCAGTATGACTTGTATTGACATATTGATGTGAATAAAACTGTTATAGCTACAGTCATAGTTACGTTTTTTTTTGCATCATTTGACTCATATCACATGATGAGAAAAATAATATAAAAGAGGACAAAAATTTGATAGATAGTTTTCATCGTTAAATTTTATTTTTTTAATATCGTTAAACTACAACTACTCATCGTTAAATTTATTTTTTTAATATTTTTAATATTTCTTAATAATTCTTAATATCTTAAATCTTATCTATATCTTATCTAAAAAAAAAATATTAAAATGACCAGACATTATAGGAAGAAATCATTTCTAAGTCAAGCACAACATGATATTCGAGGGCAAGTAAGGGCTGCCAAACGATTAGAGAAATCATTATGTATGGTAAGCATGAAGAGATGGTGCGCGCTGTAGGGTTTACGACCGGGTGGTATCCGCTCAGTTGCATCCAAGGTTACAGCCTGAACGGAATCTTACTTAGTTATGTTTGTAACTAACCTTAGTTTTTTGATATAGGGCATACTCAAGGAGAAATGACTGCTAAAAATATTAGGAAAACCACTATATATGGTAAGTATGAAGGGATGGTGCGCGCTGCAGGGTTTACGACCGGGTGGTATCCGCTCAGTTGCATCCAAGGTTACAGCCTGAACAGAATCTTACTTAGTTATTTTTGTAACTAATCTCAGTTTTTTGATATAGGGCAAGGAGAAATGATAAATGGAAATAGTTCTGCTAAAAATATCAGGGAGGCCACTATATATAGTAAGTATGAAGGGATGGTGCGCGCTGCAGGGTTTACGACCGGATGGTATCCGTCCAGTTGCATCCAAGGTTACAGCCTGAACGGAATCTTATTTAGTTATATTTTGTAACTAACTATATTTTTTTTGAATTTTGTAGGGCATGTTCAAGGAGAAATGATAAATAGAAGTACTAGTTCACAATCTTCAGGTCATGAAAATTTAAATAGAATTCATGTCAAAGATAAATTTACGCCTGAAGTACAAAACCTATTGGAGAAAAGATAGCAATGGTAAATTTAGAAATATTTGATGTTCGTTTTCATAAAATTAAGTTACCCTGGGAATGAATGAATGAACAAATTAAAGAATAAAATTTTTTTAATGCATTTTTATTAATTTATTTATTTATTATTCTTTATACACAACAAAACATAAATAGTATTTTTTTGTTTGGATGCAGGAACTAGTTAAATTATAAATTTTTTTACGCAATATATATTATATACGATCTTTTAATTTCCGGAATTATAAGAAATTTAACAAATATCTAGGTTTATAATAAAATGCACAACGGCTCATAAATTACATATTGTAATGTTAAAAAAACACTATTTTTTTTTTAACATTAAACGTCAAATTTTTGTAAGATCATTTATCGAAATTTTTAATTTTTGCCAATATTTGAGCTAAAATTGCAGATCCATGTGGAGAAATTTATTTAACATAAAATTTTTAGAGAATTTATTCTAATAAAAGAAAGTAAAAAATTATTTTATCGTTAAAAAAAAACTTAACAATTAAATATGACGCTATCTTAGAATTATACAAGGTAAACAGAATAAGGATTTAGATAAATAAAGCAGAAGAAAAAAATAATATAAATTTCTCATGTCATTTCTTTCCTAACTTTTAGCATATTTTTTCACTCATATTAAGAGGATACTCATATTAAGAGGATGTTTAATGAAGTAAATAAACGTGATTTTACAGATTTTATTGTATTTGGAAGGGAGAAATCTTTTATTTTTTTTTATGTTTAATATTAATGTTTGATTTTCAAGAATATGCAATTTTTTTTTTTGTTTTTTTTTTTAATTAAAAAGGAGGAGCTTTGTTCAATAAAAATCAAATAAAGTAATATTGTTGAAAAGATTACGTATAACGTATTATATACTACGCCATCATATATATATGTCACGTGTTATATATACCCGACTAGTAACCTGGGTACCCGACAATCCCGACAACCAAAACTTCAAGTGACCCGAATTCTGTTATAATTCAGTGAATATCCTATGAACATCCGGATTTTACCATCCGGATTGACATTTAGGATTGGTATCCGGGTATCCGGATTTGCAATCTTTGAACGGCTGCATTCAGTGAATATCAATGGATAATCCGGATCTAAGTTCTAATTTGTAAAAACAAAGAAATCGGCCAACTTAATTTTGGCCAGTTTAATTTCGGCCGGAATCAAGACGATTTTGGCCAGAATTACGAAAATCCGGGTTGAAAATCATGTGCCGGCCCGGACCCGGCCCGGGTGAAATTTTCAAACCCGGATCCGGGTCCGGGTTTCCGGGTTCCGGATCCCGTTTGAAGGCATCTATGAATTTATTATAAAAAAGTTCTTATGGAAAGATAGAGATTAGAAAAAAATAGCGATTTGAATTATGAAGATTTTGAAGTATTTAAAGTTATTTTCAAGTTTTGTATATCCTTGTGTAAAAAATCTCGATTAAAAATAAGATATTCAAATAATCAAAACAAGTTTCTAAAACTCGAGGTTGATATATTATTACAGCAACGCAGCCACAGTTTTTAAAAACTTTTTTCATTTATTAGTTCGATGATTCGGTTGTTTAGATTAGTGAAGAGGATAAATTTGCATTCTTACTATATGATTCTTCGTGTACTTATTGAACGCCGAACGTACCAAAATTAGTTAATTTGAACATGATTACAAGCGATCTAGCGATCCGCTGTGATCTTCAAGCTGTATAAGTAAGGTTTGTAATTTAGTTTTTTTTTTTTTTGGGATTCACACTCTCATTTATCTTATTTAAAAATTATAATGATTGATAATAAACTTTTGTCAAAATTAACGCAAAATTTACTTGAAATTTTAAATGATGACGAATATTATGATATTACAGTTGAAGTTGGTAATGACCCGGACATAAAAATATTTCGGGCTCATATGGTTATTTTAAATTATCGTTCCCCTTATTTGCGAAGAATTTTATCAACTAATAAAAAGAAAAATGAAGGAACTTTGACAAATATTAAACTACCAAGTATTTTACCTGATACTTTCCGGATAATCTTAAGGTAATGAAAAAAAAAACGAATATCTCTCATCATGCATTATAAATATTTATTTTTTATATATTTTTTATTATTATTTTAGGTATATTTATGGAGGTAGTCTTTTTTTGGAGGAATATGATATTTCAGATATCATTAAAATCTTGATAGCTGCTAATGAACTAGGTCTTCAGGAATTAATCCCTTATCTAGAATCCTTTTTGATTGAAAATAAAAAACATTGTATGAAACAAAATTTTGATTTGATATATCAAACAACTTATGAAAATGATTCTTTTTTAGAACTTCAAAAATATTGTACTGATTTGATTTCAAAAGAATCAAATAAGATATTTAACTCACCACGTTTCACTTCGGTTCCAGAAAAACTTTTAGTTACGATTATTAAGAACGATAATCATCAAATGAACGAAATTCAGGTTTGGGAACATGTGATTAAATGGGGACTTGCACAAAATCCAGAACTTCCTTCTGATCCTACAAGTTTTTCAAAAGATGATTTCAATACTTTAAAGAATACCTTACAACAATGTATTCCTTTTATTAAATTCCGTAATTTAACTTCCAAAGAATTTTTGAAGAAAGTAAAACCTTATAAAAAAATCTTACCAAAGGAATTATATAATGATTTGTTAGAATATTTTTTGGATAGTGATAACGAACCAATCAAAAAATCAGAACCTCATATTGTTAAAGAGATTCAATCAAAAAATATTGATTCTAAGATCATTACAAATCAGCAAGCCGAATTAATCTCAAAATGGATTGATAAATTAGAAACTACAGACAAGTCATATGAATTCAAATTATTATATCGTGATTCTCATAATGAATTTGGGGTTTTTGGTTCGTTATTTAGATATAAGAAGTGTCAAAACGCTTGTAAGAACCAATTCCGCACCGTAACAATTTATAAAGTAAGAGATAGTAACGAAATTCTCGGAGGATATAATCCGATTGAATGGAAATTTGATGGAAGTTATGGTATTACCAATGATAGCTTTATATTTTCTTTTAAGAATAGTGATATTATTTTAAGTCGTATAAGAAATGAAAAGGATGCCATTTGTAACGGGTTCACCGAGGGTCCATCATTTGATCTTTGAGCTATCAATGGATCATTAATTCTATGCCACAAAGGATCTTATGAAAAACCGATCAGAAACACAGATGAGTGTGATGAGTGTGAAATAGAAGAAATTGAAATATTTCAAGTTATGTAGGATTACTTTATAAAATCCTTATGATTTGAATAAGAAAATTTTAGCCGTATTGTATTTATAATAAAAACAAATATTTGAAGCATTTTGTAGTATTTTTAAATAAACATATGGAAACGTAAGATTTTTATAAATTTGCCGATATTTAATACATAAATATACAATAAATTTTCCATTGCTCAAATTTCTTCATTTATATACTTTTACCTAGCCTAACATAACATATGCATTAATTCTAACCTTAGTGTTATAATTAAATATCTTTCTCCAAGATAAACATTTTCTTTATCATATTTTATATTCTTTTCAGGACAATCTCGTGAATCATGATACTATGAGTTACAAATAGAGCATTGTTTTTTTTGTATCCAAAGCTTCTTCCTGTACATTTCATTTCGGGTTCATTGTCAATATCGCTGGGTTCATTATCATTTTCGTCATATACGCCATGGGAAAAATCTTGGGTATTGTTCATCTAAATAAATATATTAATAAAATATATTTTAGTAGCTTGAATTAAGGGAAAGAGTAGTTGTGAACGCGAATTATGGATAGTAAAAAAAAGATTAAAAACGATCGTTAATCAAAATAACGTGACAATTTTCAAAACATGTGACATGGGATAGTAAATCCCCTATTACTTACTATTATATATTTATTATGATTTCTATATCTCAATTCAATAAATTGAAGAGCCGAAAGAAATATTGAATAAATTTTTGATTAAAAAAAAAATTTATTTCCGTGATTTGATGTATAGTTTTAGAAAAGAAAATCTTTATATTACCTACAGTAATTTTTTCGTATTAATTTAAATTAATATACGTGCAGAAAAATAATATATAATTATCAAAAATTTAAAGAATTTTAAGCTTTATTTATAAAATTACAAAATTTTCTAAAATTTATATTAAACTCTTAAGTCTTTATATTAAAAATCCTCCAATTCTTCTATAAATTTATAAATTTTAATTTATTATCAATAGCCAAATCTTCATATTTTTGAATTTTAATATTATAAAACTCATATTCCTTCACTTCATCTTTAAATGAAAATAAATCATTATTAACAGTGCTACCTTTGAAGAAATTACTAATAATAGCCAAATATTTGACTCTTTTCTTTTTCATGATATATTCTTTTATATAGAATAAAATATAATCATGAATATCATCATCAATTTCCTTATTTGTTATTATCAATTTTTTAATAAAAGTATTCTGAGAATTTTTTAAGAATATTTCAAAATCATCTATATATTTAATATTAAGAACCAAATTTAAATATTCTAATTTAAGAGGAAGTATTTGACCTAAATTTCGTAATATTGTTGAACTACATTCAATAATATTTGAAGATAAATTGTTAATGACATCAATAGAAAGATAATTAAGATTTTGTTTTGAATTTTCAGTTAAATTGAATAACTGATAAATAATCCAATTATTAATGTTAAATACTGTTAAATCAAGAAATTTGATATTTTTACAATATTTTATAATTAATTCAAGTAATTGTTGTTTCTTAGGGAACAAATCAACAAAATCATATCTAAATCCAAAATTTTCCAAGTAATCACCATATTTTTGTAATAATAATTGTAATGATTCATCAATTTGTAATTCTCTATTTAAGAATATAGATTTTAACTTAAATGGTTTAGTTAAGTTAACTATTTGTTGAATAAAATCAGTATCTAAAATACAATGAATGATATGAACAGATTCTAAAACATTTAATTGTTCAAATACTTTGTCTAAATTGGTTATACCTATAAAACTGATGTTAAATAAGATGATTGTATTTAAAGTATTTGAATGATTATGATTTCTTGATAACTGATACAAAGGAAAACAAAAATAACCTAGCAATGTAATTTTTTTAAGATTTTGATGTAAATTGATTATTTGTGATATACGATTTTTAGTGTGGTCAAGTGAAGGACCAATAAAATGGAATTTTAAATTACTAATATTATGAAAGAAATCAGGGTTTTGTAACATTAATTCAAGCATATCATCTATATAATAATGAAGATAATAATTGTTGAACTGAATATTAATAGTATGTATGTTTACTTCATTTTCAATAAATATTTTAAATAATGATATGTGAATTAATCTCTTAAATTTAAATACTGAATTGGATTCAATTTTTAAGGTTCTAATAACATCTTTAGACCATCTTTCAATAGAAGAAATAATCTTTTGTGTATACAAATATTTTAAAAAAATGGGATAATTAAAAAGTGTATTTAAAGGAAATAAATTATCATCAACTTTATATTCATTTAATTTTACTTTTAAATCACCATTTAAATTATGTAAATAAATTCCAATAAAGTTAAAATTTTGCTTAGGAGTTGAAAATGGATTTTCCCATAATAATGGAATTGCCAAACGACACCATAATCTGTTAACTAAAATACATGAATATAAAGTTGAAAAATCATTCCTAAAATATTTTATAACTTCATATGTTAATTCAGGTAAATCTGAAAATATTTTTGAATATGACATATTGTAAGGGAAGAGAGAAAAAGGAGGAAGTATTAGTGTATCACATTTATCACATTTTAACTATTGTTTCAAATTAATATCCAGTATTGTCGCACAATTTGTGCGGTGTAACATTTTCAATAATAGGGTGGTGATCAGGAAATTATAACTTTTCACATTTCTGATTTGTTCGGGATCCGAATAATATTAGATAAAAGTATAGAGATTTAAAATACTGAAATTTATAAGAATTTTAAAGATATGTAGTATTATTATTTCATATGGGTCTTCAGTTATTAAAAAAACCATCAAATAGATAATAATGGATAATAAAAATTATCAAATACGCTATCAAAAAAACTTATAATTTATCAAAAAAAATTAAAATCCATCTAAAGAAATGAATAAAATTTAGTAAAAATAAAAAGAAAGAATGAAAATTTTTTTTAGACATTCATATTCCTGTATCACAATTCACAATAAGTGAACGCAACTTTATAATAGTACTCCTAATAAACTGTTTCAGTATAACCATAAACCTTATAACCCTTATTAATAGTTAAAATAAATTCATCATATGGAAAATTGAAATGTTGCTGTTTTAGAGATTATTATCTGAATCTTATACTCAATCTATCTTTTTTTTTAATATATAAGATATAAAGTTAGATAAGAATAAATAACGATAAAGATCATCTGATGGATAGTTTTTGGATTGAACAAAAGATTATATATTATTCATATTATTCAATAATGTAAAATTTATTTTCATAATATTATTATTTTCGCCTAAATTCGAATTATTATTATTGTAACGGTTAAAAATTTTTATTATAAATTTTTTATTGATAATTTATAGATTTAATAATAAATTATTATATAATAAAGTTATTAATAAGAATCTTGTACTACTCTAATCTTAGTGTTTAAATAACTTAAATAAAGTATAAATGTAATGTTGTTTTGATTTATAAAGTTAATTTAAAATCCATCTAAAGATAAAAAATTAACAAATTAGTAAATTGATTAGTTGCTTTAAAAAGAAATTTATTTAAGAACTTACCATCAGGAATTTCCAGTTCATCTTGTTCTTTTAAATGAAGATTTGGATTATTATATATTTCGTCATCATCTATAAGAAAATAAACGTACTTAAAATAGTATAAGGATTATTTGTTATTACGTAAAATTCTCACCTACCATCAACATTAATATTTTGCCCTTTTATTTGTTGTTGTTCTTTTTCATCATAATCTAAATTTAAATAAAAGTCGCGTTTAATAAATAAATGAAATTGATATAATAAAGAATTTTATTTGTTAGTAATTTATTACTATTCTTACCATTTGAATTTATTTGCAACTTTTTAAATAATTTAGATAATTTTTTATTACTATCTAAAATTTAAGATATTGATTTAATATAAAATTCAATCTTGATTTGGAAATAATTAAAATACATTACCTCTAAAAATGGCAACTATTTTTGATGATTTGCTGCTATTCTGCTTATTCGATTTATTAAAATCGTCAACTAAAATAAATATCAATTATTAAACATCATTGTATGATAAATCAACGCTGCAATGTTAATAATACTTACTATTGTTAGGAATGTTAAAATCATACAATTTACTATGAAACGCTATTAGTAGTAAAATAAAATAAATTATTATAGTAACCAAATAAAATGGTAGAAATTATTATTAATTACGGTTATACCTTCTTGTTCTTCTATTATAATAAAAAATAACATTAATAATGAATTTTAAATGAATACATTCATTAATAAAATATTATACACTCATACCTTCTGTTGCATTTCTTGGTTCGGATAGATTTTCAAAGTTGTAAATTTTACTTGTAAATAATTTGCTACTTATATAATTTTCTTCTACTTTATTCATTTCTAAATTATCCATTTCTGATTTGAATAATTCATCCGACATATTTTGATAATGTAAACTAATATCGCTAAATTTTTTCCAAAGTGCATAAGCGTCAGGTCTTTTTAATGGATCAGCATTCCAACATTCTTTCATTAAATTTTTATATTCTAATGGAGTTCCTGGCACAATTTTTGGCCTTATACCGTTAATAATATTCATTACAATATCATTTTCATGTTCATAATTTATAAATGGTGTTTGTCCAAATGAAATTTCCCACATAAGAATCCCAATACTATAAATATCAGATGCAAAAGTACATTCTCTTCCAACAATAACTTCGGGTGCTATGTAAGGAAGATTTCCATATATACTTGTTGAACATTTATCAGCAGGTCCACAAAATCCAAGATCACTAATATACCAGGAATCATTATATTGTGAATATAATATATTTCCAGAATGCAAATCTCTATGAATTGCTTTCTCTTCATGAATATAATAAAGTGCAAGAGTTATTTCATTAATAATCTTCATTCTATCTTTCCATGTAAGTTGATTATGATTTTGTTGTAAATAATTTCTTAAATCTATATCCATTTTCATCATTACAAGCATATAATTTCTATTTGATGGATTTTGTGTTAAACCAAAACATCGAACAACATCTGACCATTTATTACTTATAGTTAAATGTGATTTAGCCTAAATGACAACGTGCTGTTGTTAATACAAAAACAGGATTTTATAAATAAATTTCAAATAAAATTATACAAACTTCTTCAATCCAACTTGATTTGCACTTTCAACATTTTCTAACGTTTTAAGTACCACTTTTAAAGTTCCAAATCTTTTTAACTGTTGTTCTTTAGAATCCCATTCTTCACAACTTCCATTAATCCAGACTGCTGTATAGATTTCAGAGAATCCACCTTTTGTCAAATAATTAATATTTTCCAAATTGTTATATGGAATCCATTCAACTATCATTTCTGGATCAAGTGATTCCATTTGACATTTCTGTATTAAATTGTCAATTTCATCATTCCCAGATGTCCAATTTGAAAAATTTTCTTTTAAATAATTTCGGACACAATATTCACAATATAATGTGGCTAAACATTCTTGGTTACAATTTTCACAAATTCTTTTTGTTCCTGAATTATCTCTAACTTTATCTAGATCATAATTTCCAGTTAATAATCTTATTGCTTCAGTTTTTTCATCATTTGTAAGAATTTTATCAGCAAGGACTGTTTGTTTTCGGAATTCAAATTGTTTATGTATATCATTATAAATATTACTATCAGTCAATGTAGCTGACCTACTAATTGTTGCATTAATTATATCATATCGAAGAGTGGACATAATGTAATTTATAAATTAAGGGAAAAGAAAGAATTATTTTAAGTTCGTTCATTCAAACCGTAATAAATTAATGAAATGCAAATTGTTGATCAAACTTCATGTTGTGCCCACATAAATTTGTAGCCTTTAGACGTAGTATTTTACGCCTCATGACCAAAAAAAAGAAAAATAATACTGACATAATTAATACTACCATACGACCATACGACCATACGTCCATACATACTTTCTAATTTTTTTATTTCTTAATATACTTTTATTTTTTTGTTGAACTTAATGAATATATAGTCTTTGATTATATTGTCGATTAATACCGTATTCAAATAATTTGATAATAGATTATTAATTTGTATTTTAAATCATACTTGCTTATAAATAAATATAAACATAATTGATAAAAAGTCAAATTTCTTTAATCATTTTCAATTGAATCTATTTTAAATAAACAACGTGATGAATAATGAACTTTAATTCATTATTTTTAATACAAACGCAACAGGATTAATAAAATTTATGATCTAATAATTGGGTATAGTATTAGATTTTATATAATATTAATTTAAGGTTTTTATTTATTTATAATTTTAAATTTATAGTATACTATCAACAATATTGAAATGATAACAATTTATTATACTATTAAATACAATGTTATTTACAATTTATGTTATTAAATACGATTATATTTACATTCCATATAAATAAATATTTTGAAAGATTTATTTATATACGATATTTTTGGTAAGATAGTTTTGATGATTATCAGATACTCTCATAATATGAAGTAGTTGGCGGCGCCGTAGCATCGTTCCGATCACAGATCCAAACCTAAATGGTAAAAAGAATGGGAAATTTTTTTTTTTCGGTTTAAAAAAAAAGCCAAATCGAAAAAAGAAAGGGGAAAAAAAAATTGTAAAAAAAATTTTCGAAAAGAAACAAAAAAAAAATTCGAAAAAAAAATTAAAATTAAATTTTTCAGTTTGAAAAAAAAAACCAAACCCAAAAAAAAAAA